GAGCTAAACTTTATTTTTCTATTAATTCTCAAAAGCACTCCCTTGGGACACGACCGCAACCTTTAGTTAGGTTACTATATTATCGACGATTGTTGACACTCATACCGTAGGTTAGTGTCGTTGGTCACAATAAGCATCTAAATGGCGTCGCTGCCGGGGAGTGGTGTAATTTGGGAATTCTTAGTTAAGTAGAATTTCTATTTTTAGTAGTTGTAGTTTTACTAACTTAATTTTTAGTTTTGTTTTGCTTGTTTGTGTGTTGAAACAGGAAGAATGAGTGTGAATGATGACAAAGGTTCCAAATGGACCAAGTGCTATCTTCTGTCTACCCAGAGCCAAAAGAGGGGTGGCCTCATGAAAATGAGTCAAACCTCACTAATGGAACTTGAGTGAGGAGTTGTGTCGTGCCACGACATTAAATAAGGCGCTTCTTGGGAGGCAACCCAAGGGTTTACCATTTTATTTTTGATTTAAGAAATAATGGTGTGTTGTTTGTGTAGGTCAAAGTATGGAAAGTGAGTGAAAAGTGCAAATGGGTGAGCTAAAGGTCTAGTCGGCGCATCGCCGAAGAAGTCGGGGCATCGCCGAAGAAGTTGGCGACCCCGACTTAAACTGCCGTTGGACTAAAGTCAATTTCAAAGTGGAGTCTGTAAAACTCGGTGTGCCCAAGAACTTATTGGCGAATGGCTGACCTGATCGGCGATTGTGATCTAGTCCGCCGTTTAAGCCCATTGTTTAGCTGGAGGTCCAGTAAAACTCGGCGAGGTAAGTATCCATTGGGCTTGTCACCGAATGGATCGACGAGCACGACTAATGTCGTCGAATGGGCGAGAACTGGACGGTTTCTTAACAGGCCAAAGGTTTAAACTTCCAACTCTTTTACTTTTCCTCGCTTTTAATCTTTCAAATCTCGCACCTAGTTAGTATATTAAATATTTTTACATTCCATAAGTATTTTGGTTGTTGATTTGTGCTCGGAGTTGGATTTCATTGCCGCCTAACATTTCAAAGTACTTTAATCAGCACAAAGGTTGGTTTTCCGAACCCCGAGTTTACTTTTGAAATTTTGGTACTCATTTGCAATGATCATATCGTATTGTCGTGTGCTAGTCCTTCTGAGGTTATTTCGGGCACTGATGCCCATATTCAGAGCACTACACTGGGAACTAAGGCCCCGACAGATAGAGCGACTGCATAGACAGGATCCCCACTACCTCCCTCTCTGTTTTTCTCTATTTTTACTTTTGGATACTTTCATTTGCATTTGAGGACAAATATTTTTATTTGTGGTGGTGTGAGGCTCACCTTTGTGTGTTGTTTTGAATGTTGTCTTGCATACATATTTGGGCTGTTTTGCCTGAAATTATTTTATACTGCTTGTGCGAATGTTTGAGCTTGTGGCTTCTTTGTGTTTTAAATTGCAAATCGATTTTGACCCTATCAAAAAAAAAATATTTTTCAAAAAATTTCGCCACCTCTTGTGATTTAAAGTGGTTGTTCTCTTGCAAATTTGAGTCTCAATTTCGATCAATACTGAATACTTGAATAGTGCTCTCAATCGAACAAACATGAATGTACGGCTACAACGAGACCAAATGAACTTACATAGACAATATGTGAACTTTTTGCATCTCGTTGTGATTTGCCATTTATCAAATTGATTCTCTTGTGATGACCGTTGCTCACTAGCAAAAGTGTGGAGTCTTGTTTGACTTTAGTATCAATGTCTTGTGTGATGAGCTTACTTTGAACCATGCATGAATACACCTAGAATTTTCCCCGTTATTCCGGTTGATTAAGTAAGGCTTGCTCTTGATATGATCTTAGGCAACTTTAAAGAGTGTGAGCCAATTTGACATATACCTTTTTTGTGGCCTACCTGTGAGTGTGTGAACCTCTCTTGAACACCCCTTGAACCTTACCTTTCTTTGGAAGAAACCCGATGAAACCTAGACCTTTCTTAATCCACTACCTATAATCCGTTTGATTTGTGGTTTAGTGAATAGCCAACTTAGGCCAAAACTCTAAGTTGGTGATGTGGTGAAAAGGGAAAGGGAAAATCAGGAAGTGCAAGAAAAGTCACCCTTAACCTATGCTGTTGCGAAAAATGGAAACCCCCCATATAAAAAAAAGAAGAAAAAGAAAGAGAAAAGAAAAGAAATGAAAAAGAAAGTAGTGGAATAAAGTACAAAAGAAATTGGGTTTCCAACCAATCCATTAAGAGCGAATAATAGGATGACTTATTAGCAATAGAAGAAAAATTGATGAAGGAAGAGAAAAGGGTGTGTTGAGAGCACCACATTTCATGAGGATGAAAAGTCACTAAGCCTAAATAATCATACCTTTGCACTCAGCCCCATTACAAGACTTGAAAAGACCTTTATGATCTTGAGTGAGCTGAACCAAATGTTAGCTAGAAAATACAGGCAAACCAATGGGTGAAAGCATGCATTGTGTTCCTCTTTTTGAGTGTGAGCATTGCATTTGATTCCTGATCTTCAAATGATTAAACCTTTGTGTGTGAAAATGGAATTGTTCTTTATATAAGGGCATTTAGATATTTTTGTTGAGCTTGAACTTGCACAAGTAGCAAGTATTGTGAGCATGAGAATCTTTGGTAATGGTGTGTCACAACTTGAATCTTTGACTACACAATTGATCTTTGCATGAGTAATTTGAGTCTTGTTGTGTATGTTCATGATTTAGTCTTGTGTAGCACCATTTGAAACATCCTATTTGAATTGTTTCACTTGAGTTTTACTTGAGGGCAAGCAAAAGTTTAAGTTGGGGGTGTTGATTAGTCCACAAATTGGACTAATTTAGGGCTTTATTTTAATAGAAATAGTGTCCTCAAATGCTTATTTAGTCTAAATATCTGATGAAAATACTTAAGTTTCAGGTATTTGAAGTTTTAGTGGAAGAATGGACACTTAGGCGCAAAAAAGGAACAAAAAGGCTGTAAAGAACGAAGAAGTTGAAGCCTGAGCATCGCCAAGCATGCTTGGCGATTCGCCGAAGGGACGCACTCCCCCCTTTGTTCCAGTACGCGAAGCCCTGAAGGAGAATATCAAAAAGACGATGAAAGAAGTAGTCGGCGTTTCACCGATCAGTTCCGCGAAGCAGAAGTATACCGTCCAATGATCCAGAACGCATAGATGCTGAAGGCAAAGCACAAACGACGATGAACTAGAAGAAGGGCGAATCGCCGAGTCATTCAACGTTCGCAACTAACCTCGCTGAAAGATCTACCAGCACTATTTTCTAGAGTCTATAAATACTAAACTTGTTATTAATTTTTAATTGTGGAATTATTATTATAATTTTTTGAATAGAATAGTACTTTTTAGGATACTTTTCTCTCAAGTTTGGAGAGCGTTTTTGGGAGACTTGAAGAAGAAGGATTTCATCTTCCCCAATTTGGAAGTGGGTCTTCTCCATTCTTCCTCCTTTGCTTAAATCAAGGTTTAATTCCTTATAACCATTTGATTTTATTATCATTTTAGGTGTATTTTGTTATTTCTTGATGTGTGGCTAAAAACCCCTATTCTTGGGGTGTGATTTAGCAAATATGTGTTTGATATTGTTGTTGGGTCTTGCTTGCTGATAGGTTAGATGTATTTTAATGGTGATTTCACCTAGTGATTGTGGTTTAATTTAATGGGTTTGTAGTTGCAAATACAAAACCACCCATGTGTTTTCGGCTTGCCCGAGAGGAGGTCGCGAACCAAGACCACTAGACTGATGGCCTAAGGAGTGGGTCGATATGAGGTACAACCCGAGATGGTGAGCCCTAGTCCCATACCCTAACACTCAGCTCGAGAGAGTGAGTGGGGGTAAGGCGTAGGCTGGCCTTCATGTGGCAAATAGGTGTCCGAGAGGAACGCATTTGAAACGGGGTAAGTTGCCTGAAAGGGAACTTATTTCCATCTAAAGCTTAGCCTAGTCACTATTATCTTGCAAAATTTCTATCGAAAGCATGTACCCAACGATTTTTCTCAACTTGTATTGCGGTCACACCTCAAGAACTTTTCCCCATACTTTATTTTATTGTATTTTTGTGTTTTTACTACTTGTGACAAAACCCCCCATTAATATTTGACACTTTCGTGTCACCCCTTTTAATTACTATGTTTTTACTCGTTAATGTCTTTAGCTACGACTAATTAGAGCTAAACTTTATTTTTCTATTAATTCTCAAAACCACTCCATTGGGACACGACCCCAACCTTTAGTTGGGTTACTATATTATCGACGGTCGTAGACACTCATATCGTTGGTTAGTGGTGTTTTTCTTGACGAAAACATGAAGTCCCGTCGAAACTAAAACTTGGGGCTCCCTTCGCGACGCGCCAGCTACACGGAGCATTCTGCTTCAAATTGGATTATTTTTTTTGAAATGAGGTAGTAGCTCCGCGACGCGGCTCCATTACGTAGTTGCCTTATTTTTGACGTAAATGAAACTTACCGTCGAATCCAAAATTTGGATTTCCCTCCGCGACGCGGTTCCTTCACGAACCGTTCTGCCTCAAATTGGAAAATTAATTCCAATTGAGGCACTAGCTCTGCGACGCGCCACCTCTACGAAGAAGCCTTGGGCAAAATTCTTGCTTCATGCACATTTTCAGCACGCAAACCATTAGTGAAAACACGATGGGTTGCATCCCATCCAGCGCCTTAGTTTTGGTCATGGCACGACTCATATTTTTGTATTTTTCTGAATATGTCATTTTTTTTACTAATTCCTTTGAATTGAAATGACAGAACAAAAGAAAAGAAATCCTAACTATTACAAGGGTTCATGGGTTGCCTCCCATGTAGCGCCTGATTGAACGTCGCGGAACGACCCATCTCATCACTCATTCGTCATTTAAAGTGAGCGTTGCAAGCTCACGATCCACATCATTTCTGAAATAGTGCTTCACGCTTTGTCCATTCACAAGGAAAGTAGAGCTCTTGTCCTTGTTCCTTTACTCCACAACACTATGTTGGGTCATTCTCACAACTTCAAAAGGACCACTCCACTTGAATCGAAGTTTTCCGTGGAACAACTTCAACCTCGAGTTAAACAACAACATTAGTTGACCAGGCTCAAAGGTGCGTGACACAATATGTTTGTCATGCCATATCTTGGTCTTTTCTTTGTACAGCTTGGCGTTCTCATAGGTGTGAAGCCTAAACTCCTCCAATTTATGCAGCTGTGTTATTCTCTTCGTTCCGGCTAACTCAGCGTCCAGATTCAACTTTTTGATCGCCCAATACGCCTTATGCTCCAATTCAGCTGGTAAGTGGCATGCTTTTCCAAACACTATTCGATAAGGAGAAGTCCCTATCGGTGTCTTGTATGCAGTCTGGTATTCCCACAATGCATCATCTAGCTTGTCAGCCCGATCTTTCCTTTGGGCATTGATGAGTCCACAAATTGGACTCATTTAGGGCTTTATTTTGATAGGAATAGTGTCCTCAAATGCTTATTTTGTCTCAATATCTGATGAAAACTCTTATGTTTCAGGTATTTGAAGTTTTTAGTGGAAGTATGGACACTTAGGTGCAAAAAGGAACAAAAAGGCTGAAAAGAATGAAGAAGCTGAAGCCTGAGCATCGCCAAGCACACTTGGCGATTCGCCGAAAGGACGCACTCCGCGCTTTGTTCCAGTACGCGAAGCCCTGAATGAGCAGGATCAAAAAGGCGATGAAAGGAGCAGTCGACGTTTCGCCAAATAATTCTCTGAAGCATTACTATCTTTCCCAATGACACAAAGCACGACCATGCAAGACGGCGACGAACTACACCAAAAGGCGAATCGCTGAGTTAATCAGCGATTCCGACTAACCTCGCCGAAAAATCCGCCAGCACTATTTTCTGAAGTCTATAAATACTAAACTTGTTATTAATTTTTAAAAGAGTCGAACATTTATTTTAATTTCCAGAATAGAATAGTACTTTCTGGGATATTTTCTCTTAAGTTTGGAGAGCGTTTTTGGGAGACTTGAAGAAAGAAGGATTCATCTTCCCCAAGTTAGAAGTGGGTCTTCTCCATTCTTCTTCCTTTGCTTAGATCAAGGTTTAATTCCTTATACCCATTTGATTTTAGTATCAGTTTAGGTGTATTTCTTATTTCTTGATGTGTGGCTAAAACCCCTCATTCTTGGGGTGTGATTTAGCAAGTATGTGTTGATATTGTTGTTGGGTCTTGCTTGCTGATAGGTTAGATGTATTTTAATGGTGATTTCACCTAGTGGTTTTGGTTTAATTTAATGGGTTTGTAGTTGCAAATTCAAAACCACCCATGTGTTTTCGGCTTGCCCGAGAGGGAGGTCGCGAAACCAAGACCGCTAGACTGATGGCCTAAGGAGTGGGTCGACATGAGGTTCAGCCCGAGATGGGGGAGCCCCTAGTCCCCATATCCTAACACTCAGCTCGAGAGAGTGAGTGGGGTAAGGCGTAGGCTGGCCTTCATGCGGCAAATGGGTGTCCGAGAGGAACGCATTTGAAACGGGATAAGTTGCCCGAGAGGGAACTTATTTTCATCTAAAGCTTAGCCTAGTCACTATTATCTTGCAAATTTCCTATCAAAAGCATGTACCCAATGATTTATCTCAACTTGTATTGCGGTCACACCTCAAGAACTTCTCCCCATACTTGATTTTCCTTATTTTTGTTGTTTTTATTACACCTGTGACAAAACCCCTATTTCTTAATTGACATTTTTGTGTCACCCCCTTTTTATTTACAATGTTTTTAATCGTTAATGTCTTTAGCTATGACTAATTTGAACTAAATTTTATTTTTCTACTAATTCTCAAAACCACTACCTTGGGACATGACCCGAACCCTTGGTTGGGTTACTATATTATCGACGATCGTAGACACTCGTACTATAGGTTAGTGTCGTTGGTCACGATAAGCATCAGGCATTCTCCGTCTTCTGAAGAATATTCTTGACCTCCCTATTAGACACTTCCACCTGCCCATTAGTTTGGGGATGATATGTTGTGGCCACCTTGTGTCTCACCCCATATTTGGCTAACAAATTATGCACTGAATTGTTAATAAGGTGCGTTCCTCCATCACTGATCAAAGCCATTGGAGTTCTGAACCTTGTAAAGATGTGTTTTCGGATGAACTTCACAACTACTTTTGCATCATTGGATGGTAATGCAACAACCTCCACCCACTTTGACATGTAGTCCACTGCGACTAAGATATATTGATTTCCATGGGATGATGGGAATGGTCCCATGAAGTCTATCCCCCAGACGTCAAAAATTTCCACCTCCAATATATTGCTCAAGGGCATCTCATGCCTTCTCGAAATGGTGCCCATCCTCTCACACTGATCACAACCATTCACAAACATAACAACATCTTTAAAAAGAGTAGGCCAAAAGAAGCCAGATTGTAATACCTTTTGTGCAGTTCGTTCGCCCCCGTGGTGTCCACCATATGGTGAAGAGTCACAACTCTCCAACACTTGTGTCGCCTCCTGTTCAGCTATACACCTTCGCATCATCTGATCAGGTTGCTGCTTGAATAAGAAGGTCTCATCCCATAGAAGTGTGCATCATACTTCAGCTTCTACTTTTGATGTGTTGAGGCCCTAGGTGGAAATAAACCACTCACCATAAAGTTTACAATATCAGAATACCAAGGCACTTAAGCAAGGTCCAAAGTAAGCAATTGCTCATCAAGAAACTCTTCACAAATCTGCCACTCATTTTTCACATAAGATGAATTCTCCAATCTGGACAGATGATCAGCTATCTAGTTCTCAGTTCCCTTCCTATCTCTTATCTTTAGATCAAACTCTTGTAGTAGCAGAATCCACCTAAATAAGTGTAGACTATAACTTTGGTTCCCACCAAGTATGATCTGAACTTATCAAATGCGAACACTAATGCCAGCATCTTCTTCTTAGTAACCGTATAATTTGATTGGGTTGCATCAAGTGTGTTGCTTGCATAGTAGATGGAATGAAACATCTTATCTTTCCGCTGCCCAAGCACTGCCCCAACCTCTATGTCACTGGTATCACACATAAGCTCAAATGGCAGCTCCCAATTTGGAGCAATCAGAATAGGAGCTTCTATCAACTTTTTCTTTAGAACCTCAAATGCCTGCCAACACTTCTCATCAAACACGAATTTCATCTCTTTCTCTAACAAGCTGCACATGGGTCTTGCAGTCTTAGAAGTCCTTGATGAACCTCCTATAGAACCCAACATGTTCTAGGAAGATTCTAACTCCCTTCACTGTGATAGGGGGTGGCAACTTCTCAATAACCTTTACCTTAGCTTTGTCAATTTCTAGCCCATTCTTGGAGATCTTGTTCCCCAACACAATTCCCTCTCGAACTAGAAAGTGACACTTCTCCCAGTTTAGCACTAGATTTATTTCTTCACACCTAGCAAGAAGTCTGACAAGATTAGTCAAACAAAGTTCAAAAGACTCACCAAACACTGAGAAGTCGTCCATGAATACTTTAACAAAATCCTCCACCATATCATGGAAGATCACCATCATGCATCTCTGAAATGTAGCCGGGGCATTGCATAAGCCGAATGGCATGCGTTTGAACGCATACGTGCCATACAGACAAGTGAAGGTGGTCTTCTCCTGGTCCTCTGGTGCAATAACAATCTGATTGTACCCTAGCGTAACTATCAAGAAAACAGTAGTATTCCTAACCTGCTAGCTTATCCAACATTTGATCAATGAAAGGTACAGGGTAATGGTCCTTTTGGTGGCGTCATTCAACTTTCTGTAGTCTATGCAGATCCGCCACCCAGTCATTGTTCTAGTGGGGATTAACTCATTCTTCTCATTAGTTACCACCATCATTCCGCCCTTCTTGGGCACACACTGTACTGGACTCACCCATTTACTGTCTGATATTGGGTACACAATCCCTGCATCCAACCACTTGATCACCTTTTTTCTCACTACATCCTTCATCAATGGGTTTAGTCTCCGCTGATGTTGTGCACTTGGCTTATACCCTTCCTCCATATAGATTTTATGCATGCACAACGCGTGACTAATTTCATGGATGTCGGACATTTGCCAACCTAGATCTGCTTTCCTCTTCTTCATGATGAGTAATGCTGCTTCCACATGTGCTTCAGACAATGCTGGAGACAAAATAACTAGTAAAGTTTTATTTTCACCCAAAAATGCATATCTGAGGTGGGCTGGCAATGCTTTTAACTCCAGCTGAGGTGCTTCTTCAATGGAGGGCTTGGGTGGAGGACCCAACACCCTATTTAAAGGCTCCCATCGATCTCCGAATGTACCTACAAGTGCCACATCAAGAAATTGCACAATTTCATGTGCCTCAGCATCCCCATAAATATCATTCCCTACTAACACTCTCTCTAAAGGGGTAGATGTAATGTAGCGAGCCTCTACCTTAAGATCTATCACAGTTATGGCAAACAACTCCTCATACATAGCTGGCAGATTTAATGCTTTATACACGTCGAACACCTCTATTTCAACATGTTCTCGCATAGTAAGTTGCCCAGCTGCTACATCTATCATGGCCCGCCCAGTAGCTAAGAAAGGTCTTCCTAAGATGAATGGGACCTCAGGATCTGGGTCAAAATTCAGCACAACAAAATCTACTAGGGAAATCAACAATCCCACTTGCACTAAAACATCCTCTACAACACCCTCAGGCCTAGCAACAGGTCTATCAGCCAACTGTAAGATGATGATAGTAGGTTTAGGACTACCCAACCCCAACTTTTTGTACAAACAAGTTGGAATCAAATTTATACTCGCTCCTAGATCACATAATCCCCGCGCATGAATGCTCTGCCCTATAGTAATTTGAACCGTAAAGCTACCCGGATCTTTCAATTTAGTGGGCAACTTATTGTGGATCCTGGTGCTGCACTCTTCAGTAAGTGCAACATTTTCATATTCAGTCAGCCTCCTTTTATTCGCCACTATCTCCTTCACATATTTAGCATACCTGGGTATACCCTGCAAAACATCTACCAATGGCAAGTTAATGTGAACTTGTTTAAAAAAAAAGAGAAACTTACCAAAACATTCATCCTCCTTCTGTTTCTTGAAGTTTTGAGGGAATGGAGGAAGTGGTTTCACTATTGGTTGCACTCTTTCTTCTTGTGCAACAACTTCACCCTCATTTGGCTCAATCTCTTTATTCACAGCTTTCGTGTTTCTTTTCTTAGGAGCTAACTCCTCCAATTGCAAACCGCTACGCGTACCTACCACATTTACTTGTTTGGGATTTGGATTAGTGTTACCCGGCAAACCTCCTTGCGGTAGTGAGTTTTGGGCACTAGCAAACTGCCTGAATTGCTTCTCCAGATTCTGTGTAGCCAACTGATTATTTCTCACATCAGCAGCTAACTGGGCTTGATCAGCCATGATCTTTTTTAGTATCTCCTCCATGCTCATGTTGCCAATCTGCTTATTAGGCTGCTCCCGTTAGGCCTGTGGTTGGTACCCTTGTGCATTTCCTTGGGGTCTATACTGATTTTGGCCTTGACCCTAATTTTGATTTCCACCCCAAGAAAAGTTAGGATGGTTGCGCCAATTCGGGTTATAAGAGTTCCCATAATTTTGTTGGCCTCCTCCTCGGTTGGCATTTCCTACAAAATTAATAGAATCCGGGTTTGCACCACATGCCTCTGCACTATGATCACCACCTTCACAAATATCACACCAAGTTGGTGGTTGTTGAACTGCATTTACCTGCGCGGGTTGTTACCCCAATGTTAGATTGTTGAAGTGGGTGTTTATTATTTTTTGCATAGCAGCAATCTATGCAGTTAAGGCAGTCACAACATCTACCTCTAACATACTTGCAGTTTTCTGAATCACAGGTTTCACCTCTCCTCCGTTCCATTCGGGGTTGCCCTGCGAGATCCTGTTCAGCAAGGTGAATAGTTCAGCATATGTCTTCTCCAAAGCCTGACCACCTGCAACTGAATCAAGTAGAATTTTGGTGTTAAGCTCCAATACCTCAATGAAGGTATGGACTAACACCTCATTAGATTGATGATGATGTGGGCAGCTCATCAACATCGAATTAAACCTGTCCCAAGCTTGGTACAAGTTCTCTCCCCCTTTCTGTCTAAAACTCAAAATATCACTCCTCAACTTAGCTATTTTTCCAGATGGAAAAAATCTTATGAGGAACTTTTGTGCTAGATCATTCGAGGTGGTAATTGAGTTCGCAGGATCTGAGTTTAACCATCTTTCTGCTTCCCCAAGTAGAGAGAAATGGAATAAAGTGAGCCTCTCGTAATCCTCGTTCACTCCAGTTGGAGTGTAAGTATCACTGATCTCGAGAAAGTTTTGGATGTGGACTGTTGGATCCTCGTGCGACAGACCAATGAACTGCCCATTAGTGTTCAATAGTTGCACCATACTCTGCTTCAATTCAAACCTTCCACCAGCTGTAGGTTTCTGAATGCATGATGTCACATTGGTGGTACGTGGGATTGCCATGCCTCTTACCTTCCTCTCAGCTATTATTTCAGGTTCCTCTTGCTCAACTCTTGTTACTGGAGATGTTGGTTCACTAGCAACAAGAGGGACCAGTTAAGTAAGTCATCTTAGCCTTCTCCGGTAGTGTACTAATCTTTCCGATTCCGCTAGAGGTGATACTAATCCTTGATCATCGTCCAGTTTGAAGTTCCAATACAACCTGCAACAATGAAATGCTAAGATCAAGTTGTCAACACTTGCTTTTAACTTCAGAAATCAGAAAAATCAGATAATTCCTAATTCTTAAGTCCCCGGCAGCGGCGCCAAGTTGCGTCCAAATCGCACACGCAGGTGCACGTGGTCGTTCAAGTATTAAAGTAGCTCTTATAAAGAGCCGGGTATCGTATCCACAGGCACTTACTCTTAGAATCACTCAATTTCTCTAACTTTCAGCTAAGCACAAGTGTTATCAAAATTTCAAAAGTGATTTATTATCTTATTCTAAGATTGTAACAAAATATAACAAACACGATTCAATTTCGAGGGTTTAAAAACAGTGATTGGGTAAAGTCCAGGGCTGCAGCTTTTATCAAGATTCATGCAATGAATATCATTTAAATGGGTTTATATCAACTATCAAATCAATGAATCACAGGGTTAAATGTATGATGATGGTCTCCCGCCCTCTAATCGCCTAATATAAATAACACCCTAACTACATCGTTGATCAGTGATATGATGGATTAAGTACTGAGCATTACGATTTCTTCTCGTATAGTGACCCAAGCATGGTTTCTAGATATATCCCTATCCTAGATACAAATAAACCCTAGTTATTAAGTATTAATCATTCTCCTTATGTCCCACGTTCTATCCTCTTTTTCCTCTCCTGAGTTCAATTTGGACAATATATTTATTTCAATGGTGATCAGTCACAAAATACAGAAAGCAAGAATATAAGAAAGATTCATATGATAATTGACATTAACCCAATAAAAACTCAATAGATTACAATCATCTTGTAGCCACAACCCTAGAACTAGGGTACTTAGCTACTCATAATCCAAGATACGATCAAGCAATGTTCAATAAACATAAAGATATCGAAAGGAAAAGAGTTTAGGAAAGAACCCTAAAAATGGTGTAAACGTTCTCCCAAGTCGTCGTTCTTCAAAATCTAGAAAAAGAATATTTTAATAAAATAAAATAATGACCTATTTATACTAAAAGTCGAAACGGCCAAAACTGGGACATCAGGGCGCGACGCGGAAAGGCCTTGCAGATTTGATTCTAGGCACATTCATATTCTCCCGACACGGGCACTCCACAGAGTTTTCTACCTCAAACTCACTTCGTTGAATTAAATTGGAACTCCCTCTCCGCATCACAGAGTGCTCTGCCTCAATCTCAATTTCGCAAGCCAAATTATAATTCCATGGCACGACGCGGAGAGGATACAGAGATTCCTTAAGTGCCATTTCCTCCAGCTTCTTCCTTGCTTTCTTTCGATAAGATCTTTTATGTTCACCCTTTGTCCATTTTTGTGCTCGTTTCTCCAGTTAAGCTCACTTACACAACTAATCATATTGGTTAGCTCACAAATAACCAAAAGACTCGATAAGACTATAAACCAACACATATTGAATTCAAACTTAGCTTAAATACGGGCATTATTTGTAACACCCCG